AGGGGAAGGAAGAAGGAGAAAATTCTTTAGAGAGAAGATCAAGAAAGAAGAGGTTTAATGTTTGATCCAAAAGTTTAAGGCAAGTTCTTCTTCTATCTCTCTCCTTTAGATTTGTGTTTCTATACATGCCTAGGAGATTCCATGCTTTTTAATCATATAAAATGAAATAATTATGCATGTTTAAATTGGATTAGAACATAGGTTTATGAATTTGGTTCATAATTGTTCTTGTAGTATGAATGGTTAAATTCATGGATTTGATTTGTTTTCTTTTATGAATTTTTACATGTTTAAATTATGTAACTTTCATGTCTGTGGATTGATGGAATGTAGAAACATGCTTAGGATTTCAAAGCAATAAATATTTGGGTTCATAGTAAAATTCTGGATTGAATTACTAAATAGGGTTTGAGTCGTTGATACAGTGCTTGAGCCTTGGGGACCAAGCTCGAGCCATGGATGAAAAGCTCGAGTTTGGAAGGAAAAGCTCAAGCAATTGGATGTAAAGCTCGAGCCTAAGAAGGAAAGCTCGAGCAATTGGGATAAAAAGCTCGAGCCTGAAGTACAAAAGCTCGAGCATTACCCGGAGAAGTTTCCTAAATAGCGTAGTATTACTTCTTGTTGGTTTTGAAGGGTCTTAAACATTAAATAGGGACTTAGGTTTGGGTTTAAATAAATTTAAATAGACTCGATTATAGTGATGTTTGCTATTTGAATGTTTTAAACAAACGAATGAATTTAGTCTTTTAAATTGTTCTAGCAATTGAGATTAAATGTGTAAGATGAATTGGATATGGAGAATATTTATTCGATGGTATAATAAAATATCATCATGTATAAGATTCAGTTTATATAGGACATATGATATAGGAATCTTAAATAAATAATAATTCATTCCTATTTTGTAATAACTTGATATCATATTATCATGGTTATTTCTGGATTTGTTTGATGTATTCCTTTAATTATTACATCAACTGTTGGATTGTGTGGATGTAGTGCACCATTATGGGATGGTGGCACTCTAGGGATGGATTAACTTATTAGTTAAGTCCTACCTATTTTGTAAGGGAACATATTAACTAAAATGTTAAGTCCTACTTATATTTGTGTTAGGTCAACTGAATAAGTTAGATGATACATAGTGGATTAATTTAGATTGGATATATATATATATAGTTATGGTGCTATGATATGAGCTTGAGTTTCAGGATTAGTGGTTAGGGTACGTATATCACTTGGGATGGATAACTGGACATAGTAGACACTTAGTCCCTGGTAGGTCTAGGTATATATGCCCACTTTATGCGCGATTTGCATGTTACCTCATATTCAGGTTGAGACAGACCTATAGTCCAGTGAGCGTCCTATAGTGTGTATTTATATACATATACAGACTATTAGTTATTGTTGGATTGATTAGGATATATATGTGTATCGATTCTTTGCTTGGACTGTAGTAGAGTAGAACTAATTTGTGGGCCTGACCCACCATTATTTTTCAGGTGTTCGTCAGGAGTAGAGGTTGTTCATGCTGAGCAGAGATCAGTCTACTTCATTCTTCCAATTCTACATAGGAGATTATTTTATACTTCATTCTTCAATTATAGACAGTTATTGTTGTCACTTGTTCAGATTGGGTTTTTCTGGGGATCCACACAATATGGATTCCCGAGTTGTATTAATGGAGAATTAATTGTATCAGAATGTTTTTATTATTAATAAGAATTTATTCTGAGGAGTATTGGATTATTATTTTAGTTTTCTTTCAGTAAATTATTTATTCCTATTTATTCGTTTGTACTATGTATTCAATTATTACCGAATTATTTTTAATATCCTTAGGTATTCGGGCGTGGGCCTGGCCAACTCGCATTAGGAAATCTGGGGGCATCATAGGGCGGGCATGGTGTTTGTTTCTCCACAAAGACAATTTTGCCATATGCTTTTGTATTTCTTGAAAAATGCTCAAATAATGTGGTCGGGTATCAAGCCTTGATAATTGGTCTCCAAATGGCAAATGAAATGAAGATTTCAAACATTGAAGTTCATGGTGATTCCAAGTTAGTAATTAACCAACTTCTTAAGGATTATGAAGTCAAGAAAGATAACTTGATTCCATATTTTCAGTACGCTTCCAATCTACTTAGTAGATTTGACAACGTTGTTTTAGAGCATGCCCCAAGGGAATAAAAGCACTTAGTGGATGTTTTGGCTAACTTGGCCACAACAATGGCATTAGGAAAAGATGAGGCAGTTACCGTCCCATTATAACACTAATGGGTATTGCCGCAGTTGCTCGAGGGCCAGTTAGAAGAAACAAATGTAATCTCTATTCGGATCAAGGAAACAAAAGACTAGAGACGACCCATCATTGACTACTTGGAAAACGGGAAGCTTTCTAAAGATCCTCGACATAGAACCGAAGTACGCCGAAGAGCACCTCGATTTATCTTTTACAAAGTTACATTATTTCAGCACTCATATGAAGTTCTTTTTCTTCGTTGTCTCGGAGATGATGAAGCAGCTCAAGCAATGGTGGAAGCACACTCGGGGACGGGGCTTATTAGTCAGGTCCTAAACTCCACTTCTGAGTAAAAAAAATGGGATACTACTGGCCAGTTGTGGTTAAAGACTGCATGGATTACGCAAAAAGGTGTCAGGCTTGTCAATTCCGTGCCAATTTCATCCAACAACCACCTGAACTCTTACACCTTACGATTGCGTCTTCGTCATTTGATGCATGGGGATTAGACGTGGTCGGACCTTTCTTGAAATCTTCTAAGGGTCACGTATATATCCTTGCCGCGACTAATTACTTCTCAAAATGGGCCGAAATGATCTCGATCAAACAGCAAAATAAAGAAACAATAGTGGACTTCATTAAAACTAATATCATCTTTCGATATGGCATGCCTTTCACATCATCATTGATAATGGCTTACCTTTCAAAAACAAGTTGATGAGTGACTTATGTGAAAAGTTTGGTTTTCAACAGCACAAGTCTTCCATGTATAACGTGTCAACAAATGGATTAATGAAAGCTTTCAACAAGACTCTTTGCAATCTGTTGAAGAAAGTAGTCTCCAAATCAAAAAAGGATTGGCATGAAAGAAATGGGGAAGCTCTTTGGGCATACTGAACAACATATCGTACCCCTACTCAAGCAATGCCTTATTCACTCTTATATGGTGTTGAAGTGGTTCTAGCTACCACGTGTGAGTGTGCAATCCATGCAACATCATGAATAATTAATCAAATCCGTTTGATCATTAGATAAATTTCACCAAGAGCAGCACATGTACAAGTTATAAAAATAAAGATTGACCAATGGGCCAGTAGCCTAGCGGTATCAACCTCTTACTTCTCAAAGGGAGGTCAGGGATTCAAATCTCAGAAGAGACAAGTGTGTGTGAGTACCAAGTAGAGTAAAAAAATAAAAATAAAGATTGATTTTTTTTTTTTTTTTTTTTTTTTTTTTTTCAGCTCTAAGTAAAGTGGCTTTCACTCTATTGAGTATAACCAGATATTTCTTAACATAACTTTATTTACGAATATTCATTGATGCCATGTCATCTTCGTAGATTCGGACACATCCGTTAGGTAGCTTATTTCTTAACATAGATTTTCAGCAATATACTTAAGTTTTTTGAGTTGGTCATGGCTATTTCTAAATATAAATCTTCACGGTGGTTGTGGTGGTGGTGTTTGTGGTGATCATGACCGTACTGTCTCATTTTTGGAATGAAATGAGTAAGGGTTATTTTTATCCATTAAAATGACACCGAAAGATTAACAAAGGTAATTACATGATTCAAATAGGTCAATTCATAAGTGAGAGTGCAATAATATCAATTCACCTTATATTAGAAGTGGCATGCGATGGTTGAGGGTATTTTTGTTAACTTTACCAAATTTTAGGTGCCTTTGTTAACTCTACCAAATTTTAGGAAATGTAATTATTAAAAAATTGGCCAAGTTTTATACGACTGTCAGTAGGACAAGCCACACGGAGACGTGATGGAGTGTAAACTTAAAGAAAAATAGCTATTTTTAAATTTTGAGTGGGAATATGAAAGTGTGTGAGAGAGAGAGAGAGAGAGAGAGAATTGATTATTATGAATGTGGGGGCAGTATAGAGTGAAAAAGAGAGACGAATATCACTTGAATCCAAAGAATTAGTGGGGCAAGAATGTGAAGAAGGGTATTTTACAAATTGAGGGGTATATTGTTAAAATTTTAACAAAATATATAAGTAATAATACAAATAAAATTTTTTGGAGGTCCTTGAACTTGCATGGAGGCAAGAAGTTACGAGTGCCGGGGCATTATTACTTGTACGTTGCAATAATGAGAAGTGTTGAGAAGTGTTGAGATATTGGGTTGGAGCATCAAAATTATCACTACTACAAAATAATATAAAATGTTAACTTGATCTCTAATATTTATTTTAAGCAAGAGATAATCATGCACTAGGACTTAAGCATGTATGACTTATATTTTATTAATTCTTTTATATATATTTTTTATACATAAAATATCAATGGAGTTCCCAATATGTTTGCATTGTAAGTGCAGATGAATTATAATTAATCAGAATTATCAATCAAATCATAAAGAACAAGAGCTACTGCTTAGTGCTACAGTTTTAGTTTTTCTGTTCGGTTTAGTTTCTTCCTTACTTGTAGATGCGAATAAGGCAAATGCATGAAGAATATAAGTTTACATGTAGCTGATTGCCGCCATAGCATGACCAGACAAAAGGGATACGGTTCCAATAGAGTTATCATATCAACTAAATTAGTGTCTATATGCATCGATCTTACCTATGTTTCGATGTGATTTCCCTTTGCACCAAAGTCCTATATATATAATATATATATATATATATATATATATATATATATATGTTGATTATGACCTTACTCACTATAAGACTACTTAGACATCTTTGAGCTTTAAGACTATCAACCATATTTCAGCACCAAACCTTGTCTGCCATGGCTTTCACATGGACAACAATTGCAGCACTTGTTGCACTTGCTTGTGTTGTGCAATCATGGTTAAGGAGGAACAATAACAAGAGACTACCTCCTGGTCCAAAAGCACTCCCAATTTTGGGACATTTTCATTTGTTAGGAAAGCTTCCTCACCGTGACCTGCAACAACTAGCCAAAGAATATGGTCCTATCATGTACATGCGCTTTGGCTCCGTCCCCAACATCATTGTCTCTTCACCGGAAGCAGCCGAGCAGTTTCTCAAGACACACGACCTTGTTTTTGCTAACAGGCCACGTCAAGAGTCGGCTAAGCATATGTCTTATGAGCAAAGGAACATGTCCTTCGCCGAATATGGCCCTTATTGGCGCAGAATACGTAAGCTGTTCACCTTAGAATTGCTTAGCAGCTTTAAAATAAATTATTTCAAGTCTATGAGATCCGAAGAGCTTGGACTTCTGATCAAATTCATTAAACAGGCAGCACGTGATCGTGTTGCTGTTGATCTTAGTGCCAAAGTCTCATCGGTGAATGCAGATATGACTTGTCGGATGGTGTTTGGGAGGAAGTACACGGATGAGGAATTCGATGATAGGGGGTTTAAAGCTGTGATTCAGGAGGGCATGCGCTTGACAGCCACTCCAAACATTGCTGACTACTTTCCTTATGTTAGGGCACTTGACCTCCAAGGACTGACTCGGCGCATGAAGGCTGTTAGCAAAGTCTATGATGGGTTCCTTGAGAAGATAATTGATGACCATGTTCAAGCTAGGGACAAAGGCCAACCCAAGGACTTTGTTGATATCATGTTGGCCTTCATGGAATCTGACGAAGCTGAGTTCCGTATTGATCGCGCTCATATCAAAGCCAACTTGCTAGTAATTTGATTGACCTTAAATCAGTAGATTTAGTAGAATTGATTCCTATAGATAATAATTCAATACTTTTGAAGTGTATCAATGCTTCATTGTCCAACCTATTGACAGTACCTAGTTCTATCCACCTATTTTGAATTGCAGGACATGCTTGCAGCTGGACTTGACACTTCATCAGCAACAATTGATTGGGTAATCTCAGAACTCTTACTGAATCCGCAAGTGATGAAAAAAGTCCAGAAAGAGTTGGAAAAAGTGGTGGGCATGGACAGGATGGTGGAGGAATCAGACTTGGAAAGATTGGAGTACTTGGAGACGGTGCTGAAGGAAACCTTCAGACTCCACCCAGTTGCACCATTACTGCTCCCACACCAAGCTATCGAAGACTGCACAGTTAATGGTTTCCATATACCCAAAAAGTCTCGAGTCACCATAAACATTTGGGCAATAGGGCGAGACCCAAAGGTATGGACTGATCCTGAGAAGTTCATCCCAGAAAGATTTATTGGGAGTACTATAGATTTCCAGGGACGCGACTTCCAACTTCTCCCATTTGGCTCTGGCAGAAGAGGTTGCCCTGGGATGCAATTGGGTCTCACAGTGGTCCGGCTAGTGGTGGCACAATTGGTGCATTGCTTTGATTGGGAGCTTCCGAACGGCATGTTGCCTTCTGAGCTGGACATGACCGAGGTGTTTGGTATTGTAATAAATAGAGCTAAGCATATCCTGGCTATTCCTACTTATCGCCTTCACAAATGATGAATTGCTTAGACAGTGTTTGGGATTTTCTGTTAAGATATATGGACTTTGAATAATTAAGGACTGGAATTTCTCTGTCTGTACTTATGTCATGTTAATGTTTTGTTTTTCTAGTACTAATTACTTGAAAAAAGGCTTTTATGCTTAAATAGCGATTAGAACCATACTATATAGGGTGACAGCTAATAAATTTTTCCAGCTGAGGATAGTGTTACCATTCCTTGTCCTCTGTCTGTATGTATATATATATTTTGTGTAATTTGGGTATGTATAGAAAAATTAAATTTCTGTCTTAGGCCTGCAGCAAAATGGTTTTGTGTCTAGCTCTACTTGGGTTTATTGCAGAAGGCACAGAGTATGTGGATGTTCCGGACCTCTACAACCCCTGTTTCATGGGCATCAAAAAACTGTAACGATCTGATACAGTGTCTGTTGACAAATAATTAAAGAAAAAATGGATTTTGGCTTAATGGGGTCTCTCTTTCCCATCTTTGGAGAGTGATTTGAAGAGGTTTAATGTTAAATTTGCCTTGTATTCTGTCTTCGTCATCCTCATCTGTGTGCCAAATTATTGTTTTTGCTTTGTTTCCTATGGCTTTTCACTCAAACAATTTTTCTGCAACACTATTTGTAGGATTCGTTTTCGTAACACTGTAAAATATATAAAAGGTGGTCCATATCTTAAACACAAATATGAGGGATACAAAGAAGAGTTGGACGAAGGAGAAGAAGTAGGCTGATCAATCGAGATCCAGGTGGAGGTAGGAAGCTTATGTTCTAATTGTGACAGAGTCTCAGCTTGTCCTCTGCTAGGGCTTCTTCAAAGAGTGTTATTTATAGGTCTGAACCTTCTATTACCCAATGGTTCATCACATGTCTTGTCCATTGCCACATGCCTACTAGGGTAGACATGATAGCCCTTGGAATCTAAGAGGTCATTTCTTCTCATTGAGCCATGCCGTATATCACGCCTCTCTTATCTTGATCATTAAATACATTTTGTCATTAGTTAACCGGTGGTAGCCGAACTTATTATAATAATGTTAGAGCATTAAAAGTGATGTTAAGGTTCTCTGTTACAACATATGTTCACCGTCTTGTCAATCGGGACTTTTTGCAAGTGCGAGGCATCTCCTAACTTCTCTTCCACCGATCCAAGATCCTTTAAAGTAACCTAAGGCAAGGTCCCAAGAATCCTAGAAGGTCCTACGTTCATTTCGTATTGTGCTTGAGCCTATGTTTGATAGCGCTTGCGGCTTAGTTCCAAAAGGCTCGATGACCTGATACAATATCAGGGTTTGTGTGACTCTAGGGCAAGACCTTCGAAATTTGATGACTTGGTGCGATGCTTGGGTTTTAGTAACTCGAGGGCGAGGTCCTCGACGTTTGATGACTCAGTGCGATGATAAGGTTTTAGTGGCTCGAGGGCGAGGCCCTTGAGGCTTGATGACTGTAACGACTCAAACTCGGGTGTCCGGATCATTATCCGGATCCTTAACCATACCCGAGGGCATCTAAGGGAAATACGGTGATTGTTTAGCCACAAGCGTATCAATAATAAACCACTAACTGCAGCATAAAATTCATGTAGAAAATGGCTATGTATGGGTATCGATCCACGAAGATTATTAGCTTATGGCAATCAAAATTCAAAGAAACTAGATTGTGGTATGAGCCATCTTCTCGAGGCATGACCTATCAAGGTTCTAAATTTGTAAGTTTTAGCACATGAAAGTAAAGCATCTAGCATAAACTATCTTCAGTAGGTATGGACCATCTTCCTAACTAAGTTAATCTAAAGGTGTAGCATGGTCCATCTTCCCTTAACATAATTTATCCAAATTCATACATGACATGCCTATAAAACCATTTCGTGAAATCAATCCTCATTGTCACTATGAGAACATCAAGAGTATGACTATATAAATATGGTTCTAAGATAAGAATTGCATACAAACGTATTCATATTTATGAATTCAACTCAGACGACACATCAATTCAATATAAAAAATAGTAACTCAATGTAAATCCTCTTCTTATTCATGAAATTTGTTATATATAACATAATTTCCCCAAATTGAACTACAAAGACTACATGATTATTTGATCAAGGCTACTTCAATCTCCTACGAGGGGATTTGGCTCATTCTGGTGGTGGTGGAAGCCCTAATGATTAAAGAGAGAGCCTCTATCTTTAACTCCATAGCAGCCCCTCTCAAGAACACTCAAGAACCCTAACTATTTCCTCACTTTCTCTCTCTAAAATTGTGATACCTCTCGACTTCGAGACATGGGTTGATCATGCCCAAGCCTAAACCCGAGGGATACCAAACAATTAATATGTAAACAAGCAGGAATACAAAAAGATCTAAGAAATAAATAATAAAACTGAAAGAATTATTAATATAAAATCGTCAAACGTTAAAGATTAATATAATCCAAACTTTCGAAAACCTCCAAGAGTACAACTTGGGAATCCATCTTGTGGACCCCTAAATAAAATCCCAACTGGAACTAAAAATTGAAAATAAAATCCAAACTAAAACATAAAGAAAAATCCTACGTAATCAGAGGATTGAGTGACTGTCTCTATTCAACATGATCAAGCTCTAAGGCTGGAACTGTCGAACACCTGAAAAATAAGAGTGGGTCAGGCCCACGAACAAGTTCTATTCTAATTACAATCCAAACAGAAACCCGATACACAGATACATCCTAGATATCTTAACAATATCTATCTAGTCCATACATATATATATATATCCACACTAAGGGACTCTCACTGGACTACAAATGGGTCTCAACCTGAATAAAAGACAATATGCAAAACGCACCAGAGGCGGGCATGAGTACCTAGACTAAACAGGGTACACCTCAACTGTCATAGCCAGCTATGTGTTCCAATGCATATACGCTCCCTAACGAGCGATCTTGAGACTAAAGCTCATATCGTGGTACTATAGTCATATATTTAAAGTCCGTCCAAAACCAGAGTATACCATTCAATTGTTCATTGATTTAACATAAGATTAACTAATCTAGTTAGTTACTCAACTTATTTAGTTAATCTAACTTAACCACAAATAACCAATAATCCAGGTAGTCACTCAACTTACTCAGTTGATCTGACTTAAATATAAGTAGGATTTAGTTTTATAATCCATTCCCTTATTTCAAAGTAGGCAGGACTTAGCGTTATGAGCTAAACCATCCCTAGTATGCCACCGTCCCATACCTGTGCATACAATCTATAACATCCGTGTAATTACAGAACATAATATAATAGTTCAGCAATTTAATGTCCAAAACATAAATCCGTAATTGACAGAACAAAGTTTAATAGTTCAGCAATTAAAATCCAATACATTAATCCATGTCATTACAGAACAAAGTTTAATATTTCAGCAATTAGAATCCAGAGTAAGCATAGATCAAGTCTGATAAATTAATGACCCTATTGAGCATCCAAACCAAGGTTTATAATCATACTATAGTCCTTTAAATTGCTAAAATAAAATTAAGCAATTAAATCCCTTCTATCCATTAACAGTATACAAAGTTGTTTACTTTCCTACAGTTCAATCCATTAGCATAAAGGTTTAAATTATGCCATAAGAGGTTTTAATATTACATGAAAATTGTATTTAGAACCCCCCAGTAAAGTCCCAAAACAATTCAGAAAGAACAAATCGTCCAAACCGTGCCCAGAAAAATTCCAGAATGTGGTAATATAAGAGAGCCTACTCTCAAAACTTGAGAACAGGCTCTGTCCAAGCATGGAGCCGGCTCAATGCACCTTGGAGCTGGCTCTAGAGGGGTGGAAGCTGGCTCTCTAACCCCTAGAGCCGGTTCTTCACTTGAGGGAGCCGGCTCCCACTTCCATGGAGCCGGTTCTCTCCCTCTCTGAGAGCCCTGAACTGTTTCTTTCCTTCTGCCTCGTCTCCGGCCACTTCCAACCCTTCTGTTCTTCATTAATACTGAACTTCGGAATCTAAATTATATCCAGTGTCATCCCAGGCATTTATTTAAAATAGTTTGCATTAAAAACAATAATGGAAACAGTTACCGATTTATTATGCTTTAAGATCAGACAATCAAAACCAAATTTGCAAGAACTATACCAGATTAAATAAAACACATACAGGCGATTAATTTAACATATACTAAGTATGAAAGATTCATTTAATGTCTGATTAAAATCCTAGAGATCATCTATGCATGCACAGAACACATGTCAGCCTCCTACTACTCTGGTTTAAATCCACAAGCAAAACCTTCCCTCCTCCTAGGTCCGTCCTTTAATCCACAGCCGAAACCCCAACTGTAATCTCTCTATTTTTCTCACAATTCTCTGTTACGTTTCTCTGCCTCCACTGTGCCGTGAATAGGATTCTAAAACCCTAGGCAGACTTATTATATATATTTATAGGCAATACTAAAAACCTAGATCCAATTGTAATTAGAGACAGAAAAGCCTAACTAAATCCTAGTCGGCCAATACGTGATTTCATAAAAAAATAAAACCCTTATTTAACATTAATAATTAATAACACTCATTTAATCAAATAACCTAATTAACTTATTTTAAAAAAAAAAAACTACATAATACAATTAAACCATTTAAACAATTAAAACAATTAATTCAATTAACGAAAATAAATAATACAATTAAATAACACAACAAGTAAAAAAAATTAGGTAAATAAGCAAATAATTAACTAAAAATGCTAAAGATGCAATAAAATAATAATTAAAATGCCAAGACTATCTTTTTAAAATTAGGGGTATTACAAAAATTGATACAAATTTGAATAATAATTTTCATCCTCCATAAAAATATAATATCGAGATATATGTATAGCCATCCTAGTCAGAATCACTCAAAATCCTTCTCAAAATTCGTGCATTCAAGTTGGAGAAGAGAGAGAAAAATAATTGAAAATTCAAAATCTCCTTATTTACTCGTAGGTTGGCGTCCGGACGCCAGGATGGACATCCAG